GGGGGGAGGGGGGGGGGGGGGGAGGGGGGGGGGGGAGGGGGGGGGGGGGGGGGGGAGGGGGGGGGGGGGGAGGGGGGGGGGAGGGGGAGGGTGGGGGGGGAGGGGGGGGGAGGGGGGGGGGGAGGGGGGGGGAGGGGGGGTGGGGAGGGGGGGGGGGGAGGGAGGGGGGGAGAAGGGGGGGAGAGGAGGGGGGGGGGGAGGGAGGGGGGAAGAAGGGGGGGAGAAAGGGGGGAGGGGGGGGGGGGTTTCGTTTCGATCTCACGCCGGAAATCCATAGATCCCTCTACATCTACGTGATGATAGTGTGTATACGCGTATCTGCAAACATATACCTGCACATGCACAAACAAGTTAGATATCCATGTATATATATATATATATGTATATATATGGCTAGATATCTATGTGAATAAATGAATGAATATATATATATATATATATATATATATATATATACATGCGCATATATATATATATATATGGGCAAATAAGCTCTGACAGTTTCAGCACGTGGATCGGGCTCTGGAAAGACTGGGAAGCACACCTATCCGCTTCTACCTTGGACCCTTAAGGGTGTACCCTTGCGTTTTGAGGTCCCTTGTTAAGGATCCCTAAGGGAATATGTGGGCCATGTTAGGAGCATATTTAGGGTCTAGGGTTTAGGGTTTAGGGTTTAGGGTTTAGGGTTTAGGGTTTAGGCTTTGGGGTCTAGGGTCTAGGGTTTATGGTTTAGGGTTTAGGGTTTAGGGACCTTTAGGGGTACAACCTGAGGGGTACGAGTCTTCATCCCTTGACAATACTCCCAATGCCCTGAAAATCCAAAGCCCTGCACACTTCAACCTCAAAATTCCAAGCCCCCAACGCCCACAGGCCCTAAACCTCGGTCGTCTGAACTGATGGGCGAGTAGCCCTAAACCCTAAACCCTAAACCTTAACCCCTAAACCCTAAACACTAAACCCTGGGCTGTGAGACAACCCTTATATACACGATATATCACAATACTTCGGGTCCCTATAAAACAGGGTTTAGGGTTTAGGGTTTAGGGTTTAGGGTTTAGGGTTTAGGGTTTAGGGTTTAGGGTCTAGGGTTTAGGGTTTAGGGTTTAGGGATTAGGGATTCGGGTTTCGGGTTTCGGGTTTCGGGACCATGCCAAGGGCCCATAGTTCCAACCTTAGACTGACGGAGTTTTAGAAATTCAGGGCTTAGGGGTTGCTGCTTTGCGCTGCTCGTGTTGCTCCAAGGTGTCTGTGCCCTGGCTGTCCTGGCCTAACCCGGCTTAAGGTTTAACTAGGGTTTAGGGTTCTTCGTTTTTTTGTTTTTTGTTAACTAGGGCTCTACAGGGTTCATAGGGTTATACGTTTTAGCGCTCTTGGCGTGTTGAGAAAACGATGCCCCACATGAATGGGTGCGTTCAGACAGATCTAGTGCCGAAGCCCTGGTGGAACTCGGCCTAAACCCTAAACCCTAAACCCTAAACCCTAAACCCTAAACCCTAAACCCTAAACCCTAAACCCTAAACCCTAAACCCTAAACCCTAAACCTAAACCCTAAACCCGAAACCCTAAACCAAAAAAACCCTAAACCCTAAACCCTAAACCCTAGAACCTTAACCTAGGGCCCCCAAAAAACATGTAAGCAAAAATGAGGATCGGGGCATCCCGTGTACATCCTCTTATAATGAAGCCCAATAAGGTAGGATATCCGGATACAAAGCTTATGCTTACGTCGTTTTTGGGGGCCCCTATAACTCAAACCCTAAACAACTAAACCCCAAACCCCTAGCGAGGGGGCCCTACACACTCAAAACCTAAGCCCTAAACCCTTCAGACTTGTATCTTGGCACGAGCCAGCGGCGGGAAGGTGAAACGCCTAGAGTCTGCGGCTGGGGCCCAACCCCTCCGGGTCCGGAGAACAACACGCATTTAGGGTTTAGGGTTAGGGTTTAGGGTTTAGGGTTCAGAGTTCAGGGTTCAGGGTTTAGGGTTTAGGGTTTAGGGTTTAGGGTTTAGGGTTTAGGGTTTAGGGTTTAGGGTTTAGGGTTTAGGGTTTAGGGTTTAGGGTTTATATAGGGTTTAGGGTTTAGGGTTTAGGGTTGAGGGTTGAGGGTTGAGGGTTGAGGGTTGAGGGTTGAGGGTTGAGGGTTTGGGGTTTAGGGTTTAGGGCTAGAGGTTTTTGAGGCTGTGAATGACGGTTCAGGGTCAGGGTTCACCCCACCCTGTCTGGCCTACCTGCCAGTGAGACGGTTGCTTTTGCGGAATTTTGCGGAAGGGCCCTAAACCCTAAACCCTCAACCCCAAACCCTAAACCCTAAACCCTATCTAAACCCTAAACCCTAAACCCTCCTAGCACATGCGGTCCTTCCCTGAAAGCCCATGTTGGGCAAGGTGGCCTTCATGGCCTGTGACACCAGAGACCCGGGAGAGCCCAATACCCTATGAATTCAAGAGGTGTAGGGTTTAGGGTTTAGGGTTGAGGGTTTAGGGTTTAGGGTTTAGGGTTTAAAGCTTAGGGTTTAGGGTTTAGGGTTTCGGGTTTAGGGTGTAGGGTTTAGGGCTTCGGGCCTAGGGTGAAGGGGTGTACCTTTGTAAGATAGTTTGAGGTGCCACAAAGTTGCTCTTTCCAAGGGCACTGGACTCCCTAGAGAAAAAGAAGTCAGAAGACTGATGACTCCAAAGCGTTGAGCTACTATCACCTTTACCTTGAGGCTGCTGTCTTGAGAAACTACCATTCGCTAAAGAACTAAAAAGAGTACGCTTCCTTATATTGGCGCTGTAGGGATTACTAGTCCATATTTTCTGGTGGGTTCTGAAGCAAATCGTAGCTCTAAACCCTAAACCCTAACCCTAAACCCTAAACCCTGAACCCTAAACCCTAAACCCTAAACCCTAAACCCTAATCGTAGAAGTCTCAGCGCGATCAGGGCCTCTGCCCCGGCTGCGAAGGCCTCATCACGAACCGCTCCCTCGGTGGTCGAGGGCCGAAGGCCTCATTGCAGGGAACGTCGGGCACGTCTTCCACCTCAGGCTCCTCAGCAACCTTGGGGGAGCTGCGGTCTAGGGTTTAGGGTTTAGGGTTTAGGGTTTAGGGTTTAGGGTTTAGGGCTTAGGGCTTAGGGCTTAGGGCTTAGGGCTTAGGGCTTAGGGCTTAGGGCTTAGGGTTTGAAACTTGAGGCCAGTGAGCGGGCCAGGGACTTAAACAGGGATCTTGCTAGAAAGCGATGGAATCTGATGCCAACTCCAGGGCCTTGCAGGGTACAGGAACAAACCGAACCAGGATATGGGTTGGGAGTTCCCCCCCCCCCTATAAGGGGGGGTACTATAATCCTGGGGAACATCTCCAAAAAATGGGGGAATATTCCCAGAACGGAGTATGAGATCCCAGGTTTAGGGGGGGAGAACTGGTCCGAGGAACGGAGGGCTCCAACAGCAAGGACCAGGGAAGGATCTCCTCGAGGCGCAAGCCGTCGAAGCTGTAGATCCCGGCAGTCGTGGCGCCCACCGCGCTGGGCCTGCACCATTGTTGGGGTACTATTAAAAATGATCATGCTTGTTCCTTAGTGGGTTTAAGTATTCATAAATTCAGAATGCAAAAATGATTATCAACAATGGCCCAGGGGCCGGTTGGTGGGACTTGGCCCCGGCTCGGTCGGGGCAGGCCGCTTCTCCCCGTCGGGGTCTTCGGCCTTGCGGCTACTGCCCGGCTGCGGCGGGGCCAGCGCCGCGGCGTAGACCGCGGCCCCGAGCACGGCGGCGTGGTCCGGGCGCAGGAGCTCACTGGGCTGCTGGCCACGGAAGAAGTCCTTGACCAAACGCCGGAAGCGCGGGATGCGCGAGGAGCCGCCCACCAAGACCACATCGACGGCATCGCGCTCAAGGCCCGACTCCTCGAGGCAGATGTCGAAGATCTCCATGAGGCTGTCCTAAGTCCCCCCCCCTCCCCCGTTAAAAAACCTCAATCAAATTCATATGCTTTTAATTAGCCTCTTGGGTTTTATATAAACAAGAATTTCAAAAATCATGACCAAGGGGGAGATAGTATCGATGTCCCGGGAACAGAACTCCTCGAAGTAGCTTCTTGACATCGCAACACAGTAGTCGTTGCTGTTGATGAGGGCCTCCACGTTCACGCGCGTCTGGTTCCACTGTGAGAGCTTCCGTTTGGCGTTCTCACAGGCCATACTCAACCGCAGAAGTGCCGGCCAGTCGCTGGAGATATCGACGCCCAGGCGGAGCTTGATGTCGGTCAGGCAGAAGCGCACCAGCAGGGAGTCCAAGTCGACAAACTCGCTGCCCACGGCGCGCTCGCAAAGGCGTTTGCCATGCAGAGTCAGGAGGCAGAAGTCGCAGTAGCAAGCCCCAAAATCGAGCACCAGCACGTTTCGTGGGCCCTCGATGGGGTTCGTCAGTGAGAACGCGATGGCTGCCGAGGTGGGTGCTTTCACCAAAGCCAAGACCTCAAGCTGGGCCTTGTGCAGGGCCTCTGACAAGGCCTTGCGCTGCTTCTGGCCGTACTTGGAAGGCACTGTACACACCGCACATTTCACCTGGACCCCAAGGCATTGTTCCACCTGCCTCTTCATCTCGTGCAGCAAGACGGCAAGCACTTCCTCGGGGCGCATGAGCTTCGACTTTCCGCGGTCTTGGATGCGGTAGAGGGCGCTTCCATCCTCGCCCTGTACGATCTCCGGGCCGCCATAGGGCCCGCCTTGCCGAAGCCGCTGTGCCCAGGGGCTGTCGAAGCTGGCGCCCAGCAGCCTCTGGGGCGCGAAGATCGTGTTCTTGAGGTTGGCTGCCGCCTGCTCTGCGGCCGCATCCCCGACCACGGGGCCCGTGCAGTCGAGGAAGCCGATGCAGTTTGGAGTGGCCAGGCATCCCCTGTCGTTTGGAACGATGAGAACATCACCGTCCCTCCACAGCCCGATCCGGCAGCAGGAGGTACCGAGGTCGATGCCCACAGCTACCGGAGGACCAGTCTGGCGTGCACGCATGGCAAAGCCCATCGTGGGTCTCAGGTGCCTTGCACCGCATGGACAGCTCCATCCATGGCGTGGAGCGGGCCAAAGTCTACAGAGTCTACCGCAACCGCTGACACGATGGTTGTAATGGTTATACCTCCGTATCTGGCAGCTACCAGCAGGTAAGCGTTGCAACTGCTGCCAAGCTAGCTACCTCCATGGAGGACAAACTAACGAACAAGTCCAACAAAAAAGACTAGAGACCGGCATCACTATGGCATCTCTGGAACGCGCAGCGCAGCGTGCACGTTGTTTGCCATACACGCCCACACCTGCAACGAATTTGAGGAGACTATAGCGACGCCACCCCGCTAGGCTACGTGCGCACAGCGGGGTAGGGTTTAGGGTTTCGGGAGGGTTTAGGGTTTAGGGTGGTTTAGGGTGTCGGGTGTAGGGTTTAGGGTTTAGGGTTTAGGGTTTAGGGCAGCTGTGCCATACTGCTTATTCGCTGCTCCGGCTAACGATGCTAGGTTGCTTGGCAAGGCTACACGGTGTCCCCGAACCCGGACACCGAAACCCCTAAACCCTGAAACCTGAAACTTGGGATGTTCCCCCTTTTACTCACAGTCCTTACTAGGGACTATAGTAGGGGGTACGATAATCCCCATGACGGACTGCTAGAAAAAAGGGCGAACATCTCAACCTGAGACCCTCAACCAAACAGACGTTCCGGGTGCCACGCCGCTGATCTCCCCCGACTGCACAAGTGCGGGTTCAACTCGGACGACTTTCGTGCTCTGCCTCGCTATACCCTAAACCCTAAACCCTAAACCCTAAATCCAAAACCCTAAACCCTAAACCTTTGTGAAGGGGGGGGGCGAGAAATGGGATCGTGGGTAATCTCTGAAGCCACGGTGTAGGGTGCAGGGCTGCAGGGGCGTAGGGGTGCAGGGTTATGGGGGTTTAGGGGTTTAGGGGCTTCGGGGCCGCGGCGCTTGTAAACCCTAAACCCTAAACCCTAAACCCTAAGGTTTGCCGGGTTGGCTTGTGTGCGCGCGCCAAGCCGGGGTGCGTGAACATCCAGAAATGCCGTTTAAGTGCCCCCCAAACCAAGCCAGCGAGAACTGTGGCTGGTATCCCAAAGCCCCCAACCATTAAACGGGGGCCCCACCCAGTAGAAACTCGAGATGTGTGTTTTAGTATTAGGGGGATGTTTTTTCTCCATATGCCATCTTTTGGGATAGGATTTAGATTGGCTTGAAGGATTTTGAGGCTTTGAACCCCCCCCGCCTAAGTATCGGAATAGGGTTCAAAAGGCGGGGTCGGTTTCGGCAGGATTTTCCCGAACGTGTGTGCGTATATAATCGGGGGGGGGGGGGGGGGTTAATACAGGGGGGAAGCGATTACTCCCGTATAACCCCAGCTATAAAGAATAAGACCCATGAACCTCCAAAGTAGATATGAAAGCTCCAACTAGAAGGGTACCCAAAACGGCGACCAATCATGAGAGAAGAGATGGTGGGTGGGGGGGGGGGGGGGGGGGGGGGGGGGGGGTGTTCTACTTGTTGGGTACCTGTTCTACTCCTGGAAACTAGGCCCAACAACCCCACCCCACCCCCCTATAGTAGCGCCGGTATCCTAGCTCTTCACTCGCCTTAAACTCAAAACCCTGAACCGCAAAACCCAAACCTTAAACTTCAAGACTGCAGCTTATACAGACTCCCGGCCTGGAAGGAAATGTGAAATTCACAGAGCGCTCAAAGAACTCCCTGGCAGGCTTGTTGAGCTTCAGTCTTTCGAGGGTGTTCGGGGGCTTCGGTTCTAGGGTTGAGGCTATTGGTGAAGGACTTAATGACATGCTAGCATCGACTGCAGAGGACTACTAAGTTAAGACTACGTTTAGTGGGCTGAGGGGGGCCTAGATCCTGAGCCCCAAACCCAAAACCCTCATTCCTGGGCGCCCTCAAGGCCTCAGGGCCTGTTAAGTGGTCAACCCTCAACCCTCAACCCTCAACTCTCAACCCTCAACCCTCAACCCTCAACCCTAAACCCTAAACCCTAAACCCTCTTTTGGGGCTAGCGATGAGACCTCTGCAGCACTCATCATGTCCCTGCTCTTCCCAAAGTGTGACGTATTCAGGGGTTTAGGGTTGAGGGTTTAGGGTTTGGGGTTTGGGGTTTAGGGTTTAGGGTTTCGGGTTTAGGGTTTAGGGTGTAGGGTGGGGGTCCCTGACTAGTGAGTCCGCTGTATGAAGGGGGGGAACCTTGTTCATTGTTGGGATAATATTACAAATTTAAATTTAAATTCCTTACTCCGTATTGAATCCGTATTTGGCACTGTATTAACAACCGTATCCCCAACCATACCACAACCATATCCAGATCGTATTGAAACCCATAAACCTGGTTTGGGAAGTCGCATTCTAGGTTCGTATCCAAACCGTATTGAAAACCTACAAAGCAAATATTAGCAACAGACATCCTTGAGGCTACATATGGGGCCTTGGCCCTGCACCCTAAACCCTGAATTAATGCCGAGGGAGGGTCCAACATCAAATCCTGAACCGTTCGGATGAGCAAATCCCGCAGATTCGGGTCCCTTTGGGGGGTCCTTCTTGTCCGTACTAAAGACCGGACCCCCCCAAAAGGGAACCGAATTTAGAGAACTGTGGGGAGCATGCCCTAAACCCTAAACCCCTAAACCCTAATCTCTAAACCCTAAACCCTAAACCCTAAACCCTAAACCGTATTGGCATCCTTTTACTTCCCTCCCCTCCAACCCCTGGGGCGCACCCCTCTGCCCCCCCTTGGACCCTCCCCACCGTTTCCCTTATCCATGTGCCCCGCCAAGACAGGTCCAAAGGCTAACACAGTGGTTGAAGGTTTAGGGTTGAGGGTTTAGGGTTAGGGTTTAGGGTTTAGGGTTTAGGGCCGTTTAGGGTTTAGGGTTTAGGGCTTAGGGCTTAGGGTTTAGGGTTTAGGGTTTAGGGTTTAGGGTTTAGGGTTTAGGGTTTAGGGTTTAGGGTTTAGGGTTTAGGGTTTAGGGTTTAGGGTTTAGGCCTGCACTGCGTCGGAATGGGTGCCCGCCGACCACTACGTCTGAGGGCGGCACAGGCAAAGGGATGAAACCAAGAATCACTAAGCCAACCGCTACTTACGAGGGCGGCACAAAAACGGAACCAGGAGTTGCCCGCCCCCCCAACCCCGCCGTTCGGCTACCCCGCTCCCCTAGCAACCCGCGATCTCCAGTTTGGGTAGCCTCGCCACCAGGCAGGCCCCGGCCGAGGCGGGTCGCGCAGCGTGAGAATTTCAGACGCGCGAACTTCAGACCGACTGTGAACCCTGTATTCCCTGCATCCCCCGAGAAGTGTTTCGTTTGAGCAAAGTGACCCAAGCACTCTTAACCCAAGCAGCCTGAACCCAAATCCCACAGCTCCAAGTCCAACAACCCAGTTAGGGTTCAGGTCCAGGGTTCTGTGGTTGAAGGTTTAGGGTTTAGGGTTTAGGGTTTAGGGTTTAGGGTTTAGGGTTTAGGGTTTAGGGTTTTCGGGTTTAGGGTTTAGGGTTTAGGGTTCAGGGTTGAGGTTCAAGGATCAGGGTTTGCCTAAACCCTGCAAGCACCTCGCATGCTGTGGTGATCTGAAGCCCAGGAAGCAGTATCCGAGGTTGCATGACACCTCTGCTAGCTGCGGAGGGAGGGGCGCGGGAGGCTTCGGGAGTATAGGTTAAGGTTTAGGGTTTAGGGTTTCGGGTTTAGGATTTATAGGGTTTAGGGTTTAGGTCTAGGGTCTAGGGTTTAGTTTAGGGTTTAGGGTCTACATGTGTGCGCCCTTGAAATTTCAAAGTTCCCCCAATGACCTAGACAAGGGGGTACCGTTTCAGAGCGTCACGAAACATCATGAGCCTTCATCAAAAGTGGTCCGTTCGAGCAGACGATTCATCCTGCTTCTTAAATGGACCCTAAACCCTAAACCCTAAACTCGAAACCCCAAACCCGAAACCCTAAACCCGAAACCCTTTGTAGTTGACACCCCGCAGCCTACCTAAAGAACAGACTTCCTCGGATCCTAATTACCATAACAAGCGACACAAAAGCAGGGTGTTGGGGGGGAAGACCCTGAAGCCATTTTGCCATCGACAACCCTTAAACCCTAAACCCTACACCCTAAACCCTAAACCCTAAACCGTAAACCCTGCAAGGGGCGCCTTGCCCTGCTTCAGGGGCAGATGAAAATAGGAGAGCTTCTCTTTGCCTCGGATGGTTTAGGGTTTAGGGTTTAGGGTTTAGGGTTTAGGCTTTAGGGTTTAGGCTTTAGGGTTTAGGCTTTAGGGCTTGGGGTTTAGGCTTTCGGGTTTAGGGTTTAGGCCCGGATTGCATGCCCCTTGGTTACGCTGAACTGACCTTGCATACGGGATCTCCTTCAGGGTTTGCCTTGCTGTGTCCCCAAACCCCAAACCCCAAACCCCAAACCCCAAACCCCAAACCCCAAACCCCAAACCCCAAACCCCAACCCCAAACCCCAAACCCCAAACCCCAAACCACAAACCCCAAACCCCAAACCCCAAACCCTAAACCCTAAACCCTAAAGGAAACTGGACGGAAGGAAGCAGGGCCTTGCCACCAGGTGGTCAGGCCCCAGAGGTTTGAGGGGTTTAGGGTTTAGGGTTCAGGGTTTAGGGTTTAGGGTTTAGGGTTTAGGGTTTAAGGTTTAGGGTTTAGGGTTTGTTTAGGGTTTAGGGTTTAGGGTTTAGGGGTTAGCGCTTAGGATTTAGGGTTTAGGGCTTACAGTTGAGGGGTTTTAAACCCTAAACCCTAAACCCTAAGCGCTAACCCCTAAACCCTAAACCCTAAACCCTAAGCCCTAAACCCTAAACCCTAAACCCTAAATCCTAGCAACCCGGAAGCCCAGAAGCGCGGCACTCTCAGCCCAAGTTGCCAAAGCCCTAAACCCCTAACCCCTACACCCCTAACCCCTACACCCCTAAACCCTAACCCCTAAACCCTAACCCCTAAACCCTAAATCCTAAACCCTAAACCCTCAACC